CCAAGAAATAAGAGAATCACCAAGGAAGAAGCAATACCCAGTGGTAGATCTACGATCAATGGGGTAACCTACCCAATCTGCATCTGAGTAGGCACGAAACTCAAGTGAAGAGTGAGATGAGAAGTGGAGACCATGAAATAGGGTCCCTTTGATGTACCTGAGAATGGGAAGCACTGTAGCATAATGGGATGTGTGAGGAGTAGAGAGAAATTGATTGACAATATGGACAGCATAAGAGATGTCAGGGCGAGTAACTGTAAGATAAACAAGACTACCAACCAACTGGCGAAACAAGGTGGGGTCATCGAAAGGTGTACCATCCATGGGAGTGAGTTTAGAGTTGAGCTCTAGAGGAGTGGTACATGTTTTACTATCTGTGAGTCCCGCTCGAGTAAGAAGATCAGAAGCATACTTTGCTTGCAAAAGATAATATCCCTCAGAGTTAGAAGTGATCTCAAGTCCCAAAAAGTAACTAAGATTTCCAAGATCTTTCATTTCGACATGTTGCTGAGATAAGTCCCGAGATCCAAAATTCCGGATGTGTCATCACCAGTGATGATCATATCATCAACATAGAGGAGAAGAAAGATAGTACACTGGTCTATTTTGCGAATGAAAAGAGTAGAATCATGTGAGCTGGAAGTGAACCTAAAATTTCCAATAATGGTGCTGAACTTGGCAAATCAAGCTCAAGGAGCTTGCTTGAGACCATAAAGAGCCTGACGAAGTTTGCAGACTTGATGCGGAAGATGATGAGAACCAGGAGGAGGGCAGATATAAACTTCTTCAGTAAGTTCACCATTAAAAAAAATATTTTTCACATCCATCTGAAATAATTCCCAATGACAGACGGTGGCTACTGCAATTAAGCTGCGAACTGAAGTGAGGCGGGCAACCGGGGCAAAGGTCTTCTCATAGTCAATCCCATACTCCTGGGTAAACCCTTTAGCTACCAAACGAGCTTTGTATCGATCAATGGACCCATCAAAGTGAGTTTTGATCTTGTAAACCCACTTGCATCCCATGGCATGTTTGCCTTTTGGTAGGTCCACTAGATCCCAAGTGTGAGTGTTTTCGAGTGCCTGTAGTTCATCATTCATTGCTTTCTGTCAAAGAGGATCAGAACTAGCTTCACGATAAGACTGGGGTTCATGGTGAGAAAGAATAGTAGAAAATACAGCAAAGTCACAAAGATTAACAGAAGGAGTTTTTACCCGGTTACTTCGTCGAGTAGGGAGATCAGAAGTCGTTGGAGCATATCCATCAGAAGAGACAAGTTCCTCAGAAAAGGGCAAGGTGGATAACTCAATTGAGGTATCTGTAGACATGTTGGTTGGTAATGACATATCTGAGAAAGAGATAGGATGTGTTGGTGGAGATGTTGACTCAGAAGAAGAGTTTGTCTCAGGAGTGTCAGGAAAAAGATCCGTGGAGAGGTCAGTGACTAGGATAGAGGTATTGTCATGTGACAGGTGAAACTTGGATATGGAGGCGAACATCTTGTGTTCCCAGAAAATGACATGACGAGATCCTTGGAGACGTTTGGAGTAAGGATCCCAACATTTGTAGCCTTTGTGTTCAACACCATATCCCAAGAAGCAACATGGTCAAGATCTAGATTCCAATTTGGTGCGCTCTTGAGGCTGAAGAAGAACAAAACAAGCACAACCGAATACCTTAAGAGTGTTATAGTTAGGAGGGTGACCATAAAGACGCTCAAATGGTGATTGATTCCCAATGATGGGAGAAGGCACGCGGTTCTTGGTGTAAACAACTGTAAAAGTAGCTTCACCCCAAAAGCGTTCAGGACACGAAGCAAATATGAGAAGAGCACGGACGGTATTGAGAATGTCTCGGTGTTTGCGCTCAGCACTCCCATTTTGTTGAGAAGTGCCTGGACATGAACGATGAGGAAGAGTGCCATGTTAGTGAAGAAAGGTAATGACACTAGAGTCTGTGTATTCAACAGCATTGTCAGCATGAAACAATTTTAAAATTGCAAGAAAATTGAGTTTTGACCATGGTAGCAAAATCAAGGTACAACTGAGGTAATTCAGATCGATTACGCATAAGAAATTTCCAAGTGTAACGAGAGTAATCATCAATAAAAATTACAAAATATCTAGAGCCTCCCATAGTAACTGTGAGAGATGGGTCCCAAACATCAGAGTGAATCAAATTAAATGGTGCAGTAGAAAAGGAATCACTTTTGTGAAATAGCAATGCCGATTGTTTTGCAAGTTGACAAGGAAGACAATCAAATTGTTCTTTATTAACAAGCCCTAAATAACCACTAGATGCTAAAAATTGAAGACGACTAATAGAAGTATGACCCAGACGAGAATGCCAGAGACTAACGGATGGGGCAGATGAGACTGGGGCTGCTGTTTGAACCGATGAGGAGAAACGGGATGGAAGGTGAAGATTGATGAACTCAAAGAGTCGTCCAATCTTATGGCCTATCCCAAGAGTTTGTCCTATCTTTGGATCCTGCACACAACAACCAGAAATAGAAAAGATCACAGTTAGACCGAAGTCACATAATTGACCAACAGATATAAGATTGAGAGCGAGTTGGGAAATACAATAAGTATCAGGAAGTAAAGTGTTTAATGTTGAGATTTTTCCAATATGACTCATGGTCATAGAAAAAACCATCAGCAGTTTGAATAGTTGGAGTATGATTAGCAAGACATTTGGTGGCAAATATAGTGGAATCAGGTGTCATGTGATTACAACATGCAGAGTCAAAGAACTAAGATGAATTACCTGAGGTGACTGACATAGTAGTAGAGGGTAAATTACCAAAATGAGCAAGGACTTGTTTGACAATTTCCTTTATGTCAGAAGCAGAAAACATCTCACTGGTAGTAGTGGATGATGAACCTTCAGTGGTAGTGGTGACGATCTAGAAGGAGTACCGCGAGACA